ACTTTTTTATTTTACATTCGGTTTTGACTAATATTTCAATGAACATACGTGATATTAAATGATGCTTACAAAATAATTTTCAATTCAATATCTATAAACAATCCCTCACACCCCTTTTCTATTACCGAGCATGTTTTTCAAATTACGAGTTTGATATTTTGCATTTAAAAATTAAGAATTGAAAATCTCCAAATTTTACTTCGCTGGCACCAAACTACAAACACTAAGCCAGATTCTTGGCAACCGATTTTACTCTAGTTGAATTATGCAAGGTAACCCACGAATTTACTATTTTAAGAATCACAAGTGAAATCATTTGAAACCCTGAGATTAAATAATCCATGAAAAAGTCGAACAAACTTGCGTAAGAGTTTTCGTAAATAATGTTCCTCATATTTCTCTCTTTCATTCCTGTACATTTACTGTTAAGTTGTTAAGTAAATAACTACTTCTTAAATTGCTTTTATAGATATGTGTATTGAGCATAGTACTTGACAAATGACATTTAAGACAATATATATTTTCATAATAAAAAATAATAAGCAGATGGCATTTTTAAACTGAAGTTCGAGTGCTAATCACACACAGACCAGACGTTTATAACCCAGCCTAGGAATATTCCTTTGACTCAAGAATTGCAGCAAATATCCGGCTCTATCTTTGAATTATTTGCCCAAAGTTTCGAGGTTAACTATTGTATAGTTTGAGAAATTTATTGAGAATGAGTAGGCACTATTGAAAACATACGTAGAAGAGCGAGGCTGAGGAACTAGGGGTCGCTCTTTCTACTATAGAATCTGCATTCAATGTTGAAAATATAATCATAGAAAGCTACGGTTCTGAAAAACGTATACGAAACTTTTGTCAGGAAGATTACATCTCTCACCTGCGCCATTTCGCTTATTTTCGCTTAATTTTCCACAAAAAAAAGCGAATCTAGCTCGTAAAATAGCTGTATTTCACTGAGTACTAACAGCCAACTCATGAAATTCACATAGAGTAGAATCGTGGCTACGTTTTAGTAAAAAGAAAACGTTTTCATGGTCCTTGAGTTACAGGGATGTCGCTACTTTTGTGGAGTACTGTAGGTTACTTGTACATGAGAAAATTGTTTTTGTTCTAACATGGTGGGTATGATGTTGAATGGAAACAAATTTTAGTTATTCAATGGATTGGATGCATTGTTCTTACTGTGTATGTTAAAAAAATCATCTGTAGCACCCATTTGAAACGAAGTCGACCATGATACTTCCAGCCATATTTCCAAATAGATTATGTGCCAAAGCATATTTGATAAAAGTTTGACGGTCTCAGGTACTTTCGTTTTCAATACAGACGATTTGAAAGTTTTTGAACAACTCAAGAACGAAAGGCGATAGAAACTTGTGATTTTTGTGATTCGATAGTCAAGACTTTAAACTGTCTTTTTATAACTAAAGCAAAGCGGAAAGCATTCTAGACTAGTTTTCTACGAGATCTCTGGAAAAGTGTTTCGTAACTGTAAACGATAAGATAGTAATATATTGGTCGTTTTAATGAGTAAACAGTCTAAAGTGTCCTCTTCAAGGTGGGAGCCAAGTGAGACTTTAATTTTGAGTGATTTGGGCGCGGTATGTGATTTCCATGGAGTCTCAAGACTGACACTCAGTGCCTTCCAGTAATCTTCAAAGAGGAACAAAACTACATAGTCGACCATGCTAAATCTGTTGGCCACACAGTATTTCGAAGGAAGGGGCCAACGCATTTGGAGACACATTAAAAATAAAGTCAACGTTAGCAAGCCTTGATATGGGGTGCAACAGGTTACCAGCTGAAGTCGCCGAAGAAGTTGTGGATGCCTTGAAAATAAACACAACATTAAGATGTCTTAATATTCAAGAAAACAGCATATCGGATGAAGGGGCGAAAGCAACTGCAGATACCTTGAAAATTAATTCAGGGTTGACAACTCTTAATGTGGTATATGCTGGTATATTGGATGAGGGGGCGCAAGCAGTCTGAGAAGCATTAAAAATAAACTCACCCTTAACTGGTCTTAATACTGGAGTCAACGATATATCGGCTGAAGTTGCTAAGGCAGCTTTGGAAGCGTTGAAAATAAATTCAACGTTAACAAGTGTTAATATGGAATAGAACAATAGATCGGATGTAGAAGTCAAGGGAGAACGATAAACCGAAGATGTGAAGTGACAGGAGTTTGAGTAGTTTAATGGGAGATGTTTGCCATCTAAAGTGTATGAAAGCTCGTGGTGGAAAATTGAGTACATATTGAGCAGAACGCTCAAAAAAATTCTAATTGATTGTATAATTCTAAACAGGAAAGAGTCGGTTTTTCAAAATGTTTCCTTGTGATAAGTATGTGATAGAATAAATTTTCGTGTCACATTCCAACTGTCACTGTCTTTTTAAGTATTAGCGCTGATCGAATCTGATCCTATCTACCGTCGACTTCGTCAATCCAGGAAACTGCAGAATCTTCCGGTAGCGAAATATTTTTCAGTTTTTGGTTTATCCCATGTAATGCGGCTGGACGCGCTACAATATGACGCGTTTAACCGCGACAATTCAGACTTTTATGCAAAAGCGCGTCTAAACGGGACTTTATAGATCGTTCCCTCAGATGCATTTAAACGCTACATATTACGACGCGTCAAGGCGAGTCTGTTATATTTGATTCAATAAACGTGCTTAAGCGCGTTCGAGAACTACTTTGCATCTTTCACGCGTTCAGATCAGGCATGGACGAGTACGAGTCCGGACTGGAAGATTTTTTGGCGGACTCGAAGTAGGACTTGAGTTTTTGTATTTCGATTCCGATCTGTTCGAGCCAGACACTCGTTCTCGGTTACCTCTGATCGTACAGATTTCGGTAAAAGATGATTCGAAACTAGAGGAGTGGAAGATGACGCATCTCAAGTTACTTTTCGAATATTTCCTTTGGTTATCATATAATTAGTGTCACAAAATGAATATATTTTTGAGACAACTCTATCGTTTTTCCTATGTGATAATTAATCGTCACATTATTCCCTTTATAGTGATTATATCTTACAATGTTGCATATGATAAAAGCTATACTATAGTAGAACATATGACACGATAATGAATCAGTTGATATAGGATTATAGGAATTCTTCTTCAAGTCAAACTGTTATGAGTTTGTAGATGTTCTAATTCCGTCAATTTACCGTTTCACTCAGTCGACTTTCCTATCTATGCGCAGCATAGTTGGCATCTAGTTCTGTTTAACTTCGAGCGTTGTCTAGCAATATTTAAGCCGATCGAGTGAAACTCGGAAAAGCTTATTCTGTTTCACTGTAAAAAATTCTTCATTCTTTCTTCTTTCTTCTAGACTCTACTTTCTGTTTCGATTCATATATATCAGCAACAAAGCTGATTGCGCCCGAACCAAGTTGGGGTTCTTCATAGCACATGAGGGCCTACATTTTAAAAATAGTCCCATTCAAAAAGATTTTTAGCACCTCAGGCGGTTTCCTCGTTAGTCATCGAAAAGATCTCTTAAAATCTTTAACTGGAGACCTGGTTTTAAATGGTCGCACCTGATCTATACAGTTTTATTTCCTCTATCGAATGGTGTATTTAGACCCCTCACTCGTATATGCAGATTTTCTACTTTCTAGAAAATATGATTTCAAGGATTTGATTCTCTAGAATATCGTGATCGATTTTTTACTTTTTAGAATATTGATTTTGGTATTTTAGAAAAGGAAGCTCAATTTTCCACAATATGTTTTCCATCGCTTTTCCAGTTAGAAAATCGCGTCCGATTTTACTCGAAAAAAAAGCGTTTTTCAGGCATTTTCTGCCTTTTAGAAAATTATTTCGGTCAGTTAAGCAGTGAGTCAGTTTCAGCGAAACCAGCAGACCGTTACGTACCCGAAGAAAGTTAAAGTTATTCTTCTTCACTAGAAAAATTTACAGTAGCTTTTTGTGAAAATAACAAATCAGACACATGGAGACTTCATATCGGATAAGGTTACAGCAGAACGAATTATTTTTTGCAGAGATATTTTGGGGACAAGAGAAACATCAGCATATCGTGTCTCAAAGCCTCTCTATCAAAGCGTTGTTGGAAAAAAGCAGTCGCATTACGTTTTTACTGAAACTTAATATAGCCTTGAACAAGAACAATATTCTGAATATTCTGTAGAAAGTTTCGCTTAGCAAAAAGCTACAAAGCAAAAAACTGAAACCTGCAGAAAACGAGATCGTTAACTGGCTGGTAAGAAAGAGCATAAACGAATTAAAAACAAGCTAAATATGTACAAAGATAGGTATAACGGCTCGACCAGCGTATGATCTATATATACACGCTTTAGCTAGGTTAGAAGAAAGTCAACAGACACATAACTCCTCATTCGCGTACAATCTGATCCCAGTGTACTCTATTGATATCGGCTCTCTGCCTCCATAGTGGAGATTCATATCTACTGGACAAAAAAACAGAAAAACAAACCAGAAATTCATTGATTTTCTAATAAATCGGCCTCGATATTTGAAAAATAGGAAATCGGTTGGGTTTTCCAGGGCTGATGTTACTGGGAGGTGAGGGGTGCAACCCCCCTGGTTTCTAAGTCGATTTTCTATGCTTTAGAAAATGTTTCTATCTTCAGTGTAGTTATTTTTTCTTAGGGATGGTCCCTTGTAAGGTCTATAACACACACACTTGTAAAGAAGGAAATAACATAATATTCATCAGTTAAAAAGAGACCTGTTTAACCTTGAAAAATGAAGTATATGTCGTTAAACATTCTTCGGTCCGGCAATGTTTCCTGATGTATAAAGAAAATAGGTCTAATAAGACCTAAATTTATAAAAAAAAACCTAATACAAATAAAAAAACTTATTCACTTCATAAAATGTATCTTACAGGACACAGTTGCTCAAATGTATGTAGAAAATGTTAAGAAACCTTATATATATATATATATATATATATATATATATATCTGGTAACAATAAATTTAAAGGTAACGTTATTAGTCACTATGAGTTGACACATTGTCTGGTACATTGGTAGAAGAGCGCGAGAGTAGTTGAGATTGTGTTTCATGATTTGACTTTTCTTCACTGTGGTCATTCACAGCAAGACTTGGCGATTTAGATTGTCTGGTTCCATGATGATGGATAGTCTGCCGATTTTCATCGCCACTTGGTACATTGTTGTGATAGCCACTATGTTGATGTTTCTGTTCATAGGAATGTTCTCTTCTATCGCTTGTTGGATTCACAGGTGTGGGTGATTTCCCACGATGTTGATGTCTCTGTTCATAGGAATGTTCTCTTCTATCGCTTGTTGGATTCACAGGTGTGGATGATTTGCCATGATGTAAATGTGAAGATCGTTGTTTACGTTTTTGATTTAATCCTAGATAATTGGCCATCTGCGGATGTTTTTCTAGACGCTTTCTGTTTTCTTTTAATTTTGGATAATTATCCAAAACTTTTGGTTCAGCATCAATGATATAATATAGACCATCATAAACTACAAGATCAGCAAGTGATACATGACTACCAAGATAAAAAGGACCATGTCTACCATAGTTAATAAATAATTTCTCTAATCGTTTTAAATGCTGACTGGCTTCTCCATCATCTAAAAACTTTTTGACAGATTGACGTTGTTGCTCAGGATCCTTCCTATCAATCAATGGTAATATTTTCACTTTTAAATCATTATTTGTTTCTAATATACTATCGATAATTGCATGATCAAACTGATTGTTACCTAACAGACGAAATTCATTGGCTAGATAACGGACGATTGCATTTGTTTGAGGTAATTTAAAGCCGCCATCAATTTTCAAAACAGGTAGTTGATTCAATGGCATTTGTTCTTTCAGTGTGGACCATTCATCCTGTTTAACACGTTTGTCTTTATATGGAACATTGGCAAATGAAAATAGTAGGCGGATTACTTCTCCACGACCACGAGAATCGAAATAGTAAAGTCTATAATTATGATTAGTAGGATAGTGTCGATTTGACAACGGAATCGTTTGTTGCTGCATACCAGCATATGGGTAATAGGGAGGAACTGCGCCAACTTGATGATGCAAGCCATTGCCAACAGCTTGTGAAAATGGAGTTAAAGGTCCTCCAAAAGTAGATCCTCCACACGGTCCTCCTGCAGCCATCGAATAAAACTGTGGACTACCACTATTAATCATTATGAAGAGAATTAATCACTACAATTAGAATTAATGCTAGATTCACGTTTCATAACGTTTTTTCTTTGTACATATATATCATGTTGAAATTAGTTTTATAGTTGAAGTATCAAATATGAAAAAATCTTGTCTAAGTTAGTACTCAACGGTATGTTACGTCAAAGTGTGTGTATTTAACCTAATATATTTTTACTCGATATATAATCTCACTACGAAGATTTAATTTTACCTTAAGTTTAAATTCCTGACTAGTTCTCACTACTAAAATATATACTGAGTGAAAATATGTTAGGTTGCATCATACCTCGACAAAACAGTTTTGTCGAAGTAGCAGCTTTGATAAAACGCTTTGCTGACGTCTTAACTATGACAATATAAACACTTTATCAAAACATTAACTTTGATAAAATAAATTCGTTGACCTATTAACTTAGACAAAGTTTTTATCATGGTTACTACTTCGACAACAGAACTAATTTCTACACAACATATACATACAAGGTTTGTGGTTTTAACCAGCGGTTTCCTTTCTCTACTTAAAATAATATAGAAAATGATCACCATCAAACTATTGAATTAAGTCATCTATATTCGATCAATAGAAAATTATTCGACCGTGTGTGTACAACCTCTTCAACCGGCCTAGGTATGTATCTAGGTAATTGGTTGAAGATAAAAAGAGGAAAATAATAATTTTGACAATGATAAGTGAGGATCGTTAACGATTAATTATTCAAACCGCATATAAACGTCAGAAAATATTATCAAGAGAAAATAAATAGCACTTAGTAATCGGTACAAATCTTTTTCTAAGATATTGATAATTTGTTGCTCACTTTGATCAATATAAACATTCATTAGTAACGAATATTATATATATAAAGAACAGATAGTTTATTTTTAAATCAAGCTTAAATAAAAGCAAAAAAAAATACTAATGTCTTTATTTTCTCTAACTTCGTCGAGAATACGTATAAACCAAAGCCAGTTTCTTTCACTCACTCGATGTGATTGAGGACAAACCATATACTAAAATGTTTATCACCAATTAGTTGAAAGTAAAAAAGAAATTCTAAATGTATTTTATATAGAGGGTCTTTAACTTACTTTGAATAAAATATTTGTCTTTTTGTTCGTCATTCGCGTTTTGTACCCATGAGGGTAATTTTTGTTGAAAATTTGCGATATATCGAGATATTATGCTAAATGTGCTGAAATATCGCGATAATGAGCAACTCTGTCGCGATATAAAAGTGAGTGCAGTTTATCACAGTCTCTCGATAAAACGCAGTAGGCAAAACTACCGCGGTATACAAGTCATTTAGCATTGTAAATACCAGTATGTCAATAAACCGCGATTAATATTTATCGGACTTTATCCTGATAAAAGTACTATCGTTGTATGTGTGATCTTTATCTCCAAAAGCAAAAGTATCGCGATAAACTCCAATAGA